AGAACCACATCCAGACAGGCTCCTACCGGGATGGGGTCAGTGGCTTGCATCTGACCTGCTGGCTGTGTTTCCTCTTTTCTATACTTCTTAGCTCCTTATCTCCTTTCATCATTTTAAGATGATGAAAATCATCTATGGCCATGACAACACAATACAGTTGTGAGGTCTTGCTGCTTTGTTTCTTATTCAGAAGTGGTGTCTGTCAAGGCCATGTGAGCAACTATTTCTCATTCCCCTCCCATGGCTGTCTCTCTCACTTCCATTAACGAGCTCAAAATGGGATTGATAAACTGTCAATAATAATTAGAGACAATGGTAGAGTAAATCCCAGTAGTATCGACATATCCGAGCCTGAAGGACTTGAGGTGGCAATCTCTAATGTGTGCTTGGGTTCAAAGTGAGCCAGTTAGCAGCTCCCAGTTAGTTCTCCAGTCTGGGTAGTATATTTGTGTAGAGCACGGACATTTCTAGCGGAGACCGATTAGAAACAGAGCTGTCAAACTAATTCACTTTTCCCAAAACTGCCACATAAAAATCCAAGAAGATAGAACCTTAAGCTGTGCGGTGTGGCTTGGCTTGTTAGTCATGGGGCTTCCCAGATTCAGACAAAGGAAGGGAACTCATGGAGAGTTTGGGGAGCTCATGCCAACCCTCCTCCACAGATAACACTGACACCCACCACTCACTGCCTTCCCCCCAGCTCCCAGCTCTCCTAGGACTCTGCTCAGAAAGCCTTCCTTTGATGTCAGTTCATGACGTGGTTCGCCGTGCCTTTAGAAAGTTCCAGAAATGCTGGGAAAAAATTTACCTGCATTAAGCTAGAGATTCTTTAGAATTTGCAAATCTGTGCTACAAATTCCACAATTTGAATTGTGCCTGAGGTGAGATTACAGTTTGGTCCAAATCCGTGTGTGTTGTTTTACTTGCTCTCTTTCTAAATAACTGATAGCCTAGGAAGGGAGGCTCAGCAGGAACTGGCCAGGACCACGCTACGTTAGGTGCTCACTGAGGAGATGTGTCTTCTCCTGACCTGAACAGTAGACTGGATTTTATCTTGACTGTCTTTCATAATAAATCTTTGAGGGATATTCAAAACGGGCCTTTCATACTGCAGGTAATCTTTCCCACTTCCCCTTGTAATTTCAGAGTGGTTCAGAGCTGGAGGGATGCACAGGGCCATGGTTCCTCAGGGTCCACCTGTAAACTAGAACTCACGTGCCCTTTGCGTGGGCTTGAGTCCGCCACCTGCAGCAGAACATACCCCACTTCAGGACATGACAAGAGGAGCCACCGTGTTTGAGTTAGCCCTAAGAGAGGAGCAGAGCAGCCTCCTGCATCCCCTTGGGCAACCCAGGCTCCATCCCTGGTCCTGGGAGCAACAGGGCATCACACAGCGCTCTGCTCAGAGGCCAGCGGCCTCCTTTACCTCTCCTACCCAGAAAAGAACGGCAGATCCTCCTCGTTCCTCGCTTCCCACACTGACTCCCAACCCACACTGCTTTCTCCTGCTCTGCAGGTGTGGGGCCTCTTCCTGGAGACTCATTCTCTAAGTGTTGGGACAGATAGTTACCTGTGGCCCCTGCGAGCTGCTGAGACACTGCTTCTACAGGGCCTAAGGCTGTGCCCTGTGAGCTTTTTGTTGTGGATAATCCATATTCTACACAATCTACCCATTTACTGTGTACAGTTCACTGGGGAGATTGCATATTCATTTTTTAAATTATGGTAGAACATGATATCTGCCATTTTAACCACTGGGGGGCACTGATTGTCACCATTGTTTATTTCTAAAACTTCTCTGTCATTCCGGCCCAATATTCTATACCCGTTAAGTAATTTTACACTTTTCTCTGTTCACCCCCCCCAGGCCTCTGGTATCTATAATCTGTTTCCCTTTTGTTTGCCTGTTCTAGATAGTTTGTATGTTGGCTCATGCAGAGTTTGTTTCCGGCTTATTTTATGTGATATTTTCAGGGTTCGTCAGTGTTGTTGTGCGTTATCAGAACTTCACCCACGGGAGTGGAGAGATGGCTGAACAGTTAAGAGCACATGCTGCCCTGCAGTGACTTATGCTCCATTCCTAGAACCCATGTCAGGAGGCTCACAACCTCCTGTAAGCCAGGGTCAAGGGCACCCTGATACCTCTGGCTTCTGTGGGTACCTGCACGCACACACGCACACACAATTAAGAACATGGTGTGGGTATGCCAGGTTTCATTTACCCACTCACTTGTTGGTCAGTGCTCACACTGTTTTCTCTCCTGGGTGTCGTGAGCAACACTGCTGTGGACATTGAGTCCCATCCCCAGTGCCTTTGATAACGTGCCTAGGAATTGCGTCGCTGTGATAACTCTGAAATGCATGTAGACCTCCAGGTTTAAATCGTTACAAGTGAGGACTGTGGGTCTTCATTAGTTTAAGTGTGCCTGGTCCTGTCTGTTAATGTAAAGAGCTGCAAACACGTGTGACCAGTTCACACCGCCCCTTCCTTTGGCTCTTAACAGTTATCATCTGGGAGAGAGTGTGACAGTCCATCGTGGACGTCTTTGTGACTCCGTTATTCTAGCGTTATTTTAAAGCTTTTTCTGTTTAACTTGTCATGTTGTTATACAGTCTCCCACTGAGCTTTCCATCTTCTCGAGGACAGAGGCATGTTTCTGTTTCTTTGTGCAGCTATTCCCTGTGGCACTGACTGCAGATCTCCAAGATTGCAAACTAATGGCCTGTCATTCCCTGGCCCTCGGTCCTCTGGCCCAGCACAGACTAGAGAGGAACTCCTTCAGCGAGCCCTCCCGTCTTTGTGCCTGATAAGGTTCTGTGCAGAGCTCGCTTCCCATGTTGTCTGTCTCACGTAGCACAGCTACGTACAAGCTGGAAACCCTTTATCCAGAAGGCGTCTTTAATCCTAGCACTCAGGGGCCAGTCTGGACTACAGTGGAACTCTGCCTTTTAAAGTGGCTTGGGACAGAGCCTGCACAGGTCTAAGGAGAAGTGACAGAAGCCCCCCTCCCTAACTCAGAAGCTATTTCCACACCCAGCACAAGAAGGCCAATGCTAAACAAACTCCATGGTATTTTGAGAGGACTTTTGTCTCAGGGGTTTGTCTGGGCATTTGTTTTATTTTATTTGCCTTACAAGTCTTTTGCTAATATATTATGGTTTCTAATTTTGTATTTTTGTGTGATTTCTGGAGAGGAGGGGGCAAACCTCTGAATCTGTGTGTGTTTCTTGTGAGGTTTTGGTTTTTTAGGTTTTTCTTTTTTCTGGTTTTTTTTTTTTTTTTTTTTTTGGCTTTTTTCTGCTTGTTTTTTCCTATTTTAATTTGTTTGTATGGTTGTTTTGTTTTTGTTTCTTAGTTGTCTAATGAGAGAGAGAGAAAGAAATAGAGAGAGGGACTAGCCTGTTCTACAAGGCTACACAGAAACACCCTATTTTAAAAAACAAAAAACATACTTGAAATCAAAAATGTTTCAAATTTCAAAATTTCCCATATACATATCCTCTAACGAGAATTTTATACAATTATTTTTAGTATGCCTGCTTTTTGACCACAGCCTGTCACACTTGTCCAGACATGGGATTTCCCATTTATGATACCATGTCAACACTCAAAAAGTTTTAGCTTTGGGAGCATTTATGAATTTGGATTAGGGCAGTTTATCCTGTATACTAATAGTGACAGTTCCCCTGATGAACTACTTACATGTGTCATGCAATAGAATTGTCTCACTAAGTCCCAAGAACAGCCTGTGACAGGTTATGTAGTCATGACCGATATTATTGCTATGTGGACAACTAAATCCCTCAGAAATTGATGCTTCCCAAGGCTGTAATGAGCACACACTGACTAGAAGCCGTGTTCTAACGGGCAGCCCCTCTAGGGACCTTATGGCCTAACCCAGAAAGGATAGTTGTATGGGCAATAAAGGAGTGGCCCAGCCCTGGCATCACTCATGCAGGATATCAGGAGCAGAGCCAGGCCCCCAGAGCCTTCACCCCACTGCCCGTCCAGCCCTGTAGGTCTACAGCCCTGCTGACCTGCTAGCCTTCTGCTTAGCTGCTTTTAAAAGGGCCCACTTCCCTATCCTCCCTGCGGTGCCTAAAAAAGGAGAAACTCATATTGGAAATAGCCTGGGTCTGTGGCTTCAGTCAAGACTCTGGGGTAGGAGGGTCAGATTCTAGAAATAGTAGCTTCTTCTCATGTCACAGTACCTGGAAAGTGGCCATCTTGTCTAGGCAATTGTTATTTCTTAAAAATAACTGATCAGTACAAAAATAAATCAACATCCATTTTTAAAACCTTACATAATGCGGGATTAAATTTCACATCTGCCATACAGCATTCTATCACCAAGCCACAGGCAGATGGGATCGGTTCCCAGGGGACCACAGGAGCAGGACGCTCTGTGAAAAAAGCAAGCGCTGCATCTCCCTGTTTCCAGGTGAAGTCCCACTCAGGAGATGAAGACCGGGGTTGGGACCCACTTGCCTTTAGAGCTCAGGACAGTGCAATCTCCCAGCCTTGGCCCACAGAAGGGGAACTGTGCAGGGAGGTCAGGCCATGGTCCCTAAAACTGCGTACCCAGGGGTCTTAAACACAATCACCCAAAGTCAACTCAATTCCTATTTCTCGTGGTTTCTGAATGATGATCTGAGATCTCCAGAGTCTCACTCCTTCTGTCCCCACCAGCATGCTGGGTCACTGGACACCTCTTCCCGCCCTGCTTACACACTGCTGATTCTCACAGGCCCAGGGCCCAGACACAGGGCCATTTCCCCTCCAAGCTGCTCCTCTGCCTGCCTGGTTCATTGCTCAGACTCCCAATTCTGGTCAGAGGGGTTGCCACCAAACTACCGAATCTGCCAGGTGCCCAGAGCCACCTGTGCTTGCCTCAGTCAGCGCCGGTGTGCCGGGCCAGCCCTGCTCACGCGGGCCCTGGATTTGGTTGTCTCGCCTCATAGCCGGCCCATAGTTCTAACTTCTCCCTTTAACTTTGCAGCACCGTCTCCAAGCAAAGAAAAAATGTCATCAGCTGTGTCACAGTCCACGATTCTCCCTACTCCGACTCCTCCAGCAACACCAGCCCCTACTCGGTGCGGCAGCGAACAGGGCACAGCACCTTGGACACTAAGGGGTCTCTAGAGAATCACTGTACCGGCAACCCCCGCACCATCATCGTACCCCCACTGAAGACACAGGCCAGCGAAGTGTCGGTAGAATGTGACAGCCTGGGGCCAGGTAACCCGACCCCAGCGAGTCCACCGCATTCCTCTGCTTTCCTAGTTCTCTGCTATTAGAAATGATAGTCACAAAAAGTACCTAAATTATTTCAGATGGCCTATATTGTATACACGGCTCTGTGGGATTCTGCCTATGTCCTAGAATATGATTATATTCTATAGAGAACATTTTCCTCTTGAAACTCTGGAAGCATGGCTGTCCTCGTGGTGGCTCTGCTTCTGCCTAGTTGGTAAACAATGAAAGCTTCTGCAGTTTCCCGCCCACTGGTCTGGGGGCCCCTGACATCATTCGAGGGCCCCACTGGGGGAGCAGGCGCCCTGTGGAGCAAGCATCTCCTCTGAGCTTGCCATATGGGGGCCATGGACCCTTTATCGGGACTTTTTCTGGGGCACAGACTGGTGAGCTGAGTGTACCTCTCTCAGCTTTGTGTAAAGGACTAACATTTCATGAGGCTTGTTCTGAAAATTGAGGCCTAGCAGGAACTGTGAGCTGAGCTGAGCTTGGAAATGAGCGCAGCTGTTCACCATGCCCTTGCTCAGCAGTAGCTCTTCAGGGACCCCTTCACTCAGACTCACACAGAAGGATCGGGAGACTAAGCCCTCATCAGCCACAGGGAGGGACATGAGAGGCATTGTTCCTTGCTGGGGACATCCTGTCTGTCACCTGACATGGTAACAGGAGACTCCTGAGGTTACCCCGGAAGATAAAGTTCTTCTTGGCTGGTTACAGCATTGGCCAGGCCTACATACAGGCTGCTGGGGTACAGCAAGGTACAGCGTAGAATTGAAGATGAGCTCTCTGAGGACTCTTCCAGTCCCCTGATGCAGCCAGCCTGCAATACTTTCCCAATGTGCACAGCAAGCTTGTGACCACCGCCCCTTTTTACACCAAGAGCCCTGCCTGAAAGGAAATGGAACCCATCCGATGGGGGTGGCCCACGTGTGGTACGCTCACCGATCTCCTTGTCCCGGACACCCCAGCCACCTTCAGGAGACAGGCTCTTTAAATACATCTGCCTGCCACTGCTGCTCACTTTACGTCCTAGCTGGTCCCACAGGGCGTGGCTGGTGGTAGTTACAAAGTCCTTGCGCTAGTGATGAGAAGCAGAGCGTGGGACCACGGTGCCCTGACTAAGAACTAACAGAGGCCGCTGAACCGCTCAGTGAGGGTTGTGCGTTTGGACTGAACCCCACAAGGGTTCTGTCTAATAGAACGTCGCAGTACTTGCACGGCTACTGTGACTTGCAAACAAAGGAACTGCAAGCATGCAGCGGCTCTCGGGCTAGCCCCGGGCATGCAGCTGGCCCCTCGGGAGCCTGCTGAGGACACCCATACATGCACTGCTCGAATGAGGCTCTACATTACAAGTGGTGGCCCCTTGCCACCTCTCTGCTCTCACAGCCTGACCCACTCTGGCCCAGCCCCCTCATCTTGTCAGTGAGGTGATTGATAGGGGAAACAAACACCAGGCTTTCTAACGTTGCCATTTTGCAGAGCCAAGCTGTAGATCCCTTGAACTAAATGGTTCTCCCTCTAACATACCTACAAAGTTTCTAGGATGCTGAACTAGATCATCAGGGAGGAGCTCAAGTCCAGCACACAAGGTCCTGGTGCCTAGAGAGAAAAGGAAGCTCTACTGCTCACCAAGGCATGCAGCTTTGTTTGACCCCAAGGACCCAGGTCTGCGCTGGGCTTTGGAAATCTAACTGGCTTAGCTTGGGACCGAGTCCTCAATGCCGACTGCCCTAGTGCCTGGCTGCTCTGGTATTGGCCTTCTGTCTTGAAGCATGCCCCCCCCCTTGTGCAGAGCCCTCCCAGCTGGCATTGCAGTCTGCCTAGGCTGGCACTTGGTTGACCTGGGGCAGCGGGGGGGAAGGGGGTAGAGGGGGGTAGACTGCCCTTCAACCTCCAAACCAAAGCCATTTTCTTCCCAAGTAATTCTTCTTCGTTCTTTAGCTTTTAAGGAGTACAATTAATATGTTAACTGTGGCTTTTAAACCATGCAGCAGCAATAGTACAGTTCATAGGCTTCTTTTGCTCCTGCAGGCATTCAAACAGAACCCAGAGGAGGTGTCTGAGACCTTCTCCCACCTCTCCTGGGGGGAGTCACATCTGGGGTCACATCTGGAGACATGCACAGTCACCTCAGGGCTGTGTCTGCTTGCTGCCTGCCTAGTGTTGGCACACATCTACAAACCAGCACAGAAAAAGCAAAAACAGGAGGATTGCAAGTTTGAGGGCAGCCTGGGTTACATAATGAGGCCTTATCAAAAACAAGAGGGGAGAAGAGAAGGCCACGGCCTGTCCATTTAGGTGTCCTTTGCAAAGCGTCGCTCTTGCTTTATTCAGGGGGTGAGGTCTCCCTCCTGCCCGGCTGCACAGTGCAGGCCTACCCCGCCCAGCCATTAGCACCTCCCTGCATCCCCAGCCTCCGCCTCTCGCCTTTGCGCCCCGCGATGGCTCCTGGTTACCACTCTCACCCATCCGTTCCTGCGTGGTGCATGGGCCACAGTGGCTGGCGACAGCGTGTGCTGAGGACGCATTGGCTAGGTTAATAAAGCCGGGGCTCCCCTTAGCCGGGTACGTAGAGCCATCTAATGTGAGTACTGCCTTTCTCGCTCTCCTCCCACCCAGCAGCACCGACGCCCAGGGCGCTAGAATGCACTCATGCCAGGCTGGGCTCACATTGACGCAAGCATAGAGCTGCTCCTGCCCGGAGAGGGGCTCTACATCGTCAGTAGCATAGGAGCAGTTGGTATTTCATATTCGGTTCTTGTGCCATTCCCCGGGAGAGCTAGCCTCATCCTGCCTTGGGTCTGGAGAGCTGCAGGGTTATTGTAACTTCTGCTGTTCACCCTCGTTGTTTGTTAGGGCCAGCCGTAGGCATGATCACACCTGACTCCCTGGCTGCCCAGGAGGGAACCAGGCAGGCCTCCTCCTTCCACACGTCTGCCAGGTGTGTGCTGTCTATACACTTAGGGTACTTTCCCTAGAGGACCAATGTGGGCCCAGCTTGGGCCTGTGCCTTTACCGGGGATTTCGTTACTTCCGTCTCCCTCGTTTGTAACTCCAGTCCACTATGCAGCTGGGGGCCAGAACCCAGTCGCCTCTCCACAGTCAGGGTGAACGCCTGACCGGGCCCAGGGACTGACTGCATGGTTCATGCCTGGGCAGTCTCAGGAACATGTCCCTTCTGGAAGGCTACTGTTTACAAGTGGAGGGAACACATCTTCTAGATAGCCAAGGACATGCATGCCACTAACCTGTGACCCGTTCATCCTCCCTCCCACAGCAGTTAACGCCAGTAGTCACCATCCAGCCCCCTTCAAGTCCAAGCCCTCCGGCACCGTGACCTCCACCAGTGGCCACTCTTCAGGGAGCTCATCAGGAGCCATTGCCTATCGGCAGCAACGTCCAGGCCCCCATTTCCAGCAGCAGCAGCCCCTCAATCTCAGCCAGGTAAACCCCAGCAGGCTAAGGGGCCTTGATAGCTTGTCCCTGTGCTAAGCCAACCCTGGGAAAGGTGGTATTCACAGAGAGCCAGCCCAAGCAAAATAATAGAGTTCTTAGTGACGTGGTGCCAGGGCTGGCCTGCTGGCCAGAGGGCCCACATGGGCCCAGCAGAGGGAGGGCATGGTGTCCTGCCATTGCTCTGGGTCACCGGGAAGTCCTTGCAGTCAGCACCCCAGACCCATGGAAAACGTACCCTAGGACTTGCTAACGTACTTGCTAACATGCCCCAGTGATTTGGGTTCTCTACAGGAGAGAAGGCTCTTTGCTTGGACTGGTTCTGGAAGTCACCAGTGTTAGAGGGAGAGCTCACAGCACGCGGGAGATCAGTCACTACCCGGAGAGCGATCCCTTCAGCAGAGCATCTCGCTGGCTTTGCTCTGGACTGGCTGAATGTCACCCAAGTCTGATGACTAGCCAGTCAGACATTACTTCCTCAACCCAAACAGATGTCTATGCGCTCTGCTTTTGAAGGGAGGCACCTGTAGTCAGTCTTGCTTCCCATCCTGTCCCCTTAATTAACACAGTCCCCGTGCTATTTCCCTCCTCAGGCTCAGCAGCACGTGGCTACGGACCGAACTGGGAGTCACCGCCGACAGCAGGCCTACGTCACTCCTACCGTGGCCCAGGCCCCGTACCCCTTCCCGCACAACAGCCCCAGCCACGGTACTGTACACCCGCACCTGGCTGCAGCCGCCCACCTTCCGACCCAGGCTCACCTCTACACATACACAGCGCCCACAGCCCTAGGCTCCGCCGGCACCGTAGCCCACCTGGTGGCATCCCAAGGCTCAGCGCGCCACACTGTGCAGCACACTGCCTATCCAGCCAGCATCGTTCACCAAGTCCCTGTGAGCATGGGACCCCGGGTCCTACCCTCACCCACCATCCACCCCAGTCAGTATCCAGCCCAGTTTGCCCATCAGACGTACATCAGCGCCTCGCCAGCTTCCACCGTCTACACTGGATACCCACTGAGTCCTGCCAAGGTCAACCAGTACCCTTACATATAGACACTGCGGGCCCGCAGGGAGCGGGGTGGAGGCCCCGCAGACCCGAGGCTGGGTTTTCTACTGCAGGTGCCGCACACCGCGCATAGGGAGCAGGGAGGAGGACGGTAGGGACAGACGGGACTTGAACTAGGCAGTGGGAGGGCTTAGAGCAGAGAAGAGGACATTTTAGAGAGGAGGGGCTAAGGAGTGGGAAGAAATCTATGCTTTTTATTTTAAAGAAGAAAAAGGAAAAAAAGAAAAAGAAAAAATGTTAGTAACAAAAGAGGAAAAAAGAAAAGAACACAGCTCACAACCCATTCTGCACCAAACTGGAAAGGAAAAGGAGCTACAGAAGATTCTGGAAGCAAGGGGCCCCAGTGTTTGAAGAACTTTATGAACTTTTTAAAGATTATTTTCATATGGCAGCAAGTGACATTGAAGAATTTGCTGTCAGGGACACCTGATATGGAAATCCAATAGATTTTTAATTAATTGAATATGAAAATTAGGGATTTTTCCAGAACTCCAAAAGGGTCAGCACCCTTTCAAATGTCAGGCCGTGGCCTAAGGAGGCTCGCATTTGGGGGTGGCCTGGGGGTGGCAAGCCCAGCTCTGGCTTACTTGTCAGGAATAGTGGGGTCCCCCAGACTGATGGAAAAACCTCGGCAGACGGGCAGGCTTCCTCTTTTGGGGCATTCTGGATAAATCTCCCAGCAATGTTATTCCTCAGATGTCATTAATAATGTGTGTTGCAGTCTTTAATTTTTTTTTTCTTTCCTGAGATTTTTTTTTCTCTTTGAATCAACCCCTAGTCGTGTAGCATAGGGCTAGTGGTGGTCGCGGACACCCTAGTAGAATGTAGCACTCTGGGTCCTTGTTTCCTCCTGCGTTCAACTCCAGTGATACCAATAGACTATTCCTCAATAGAATTGCACAAAAGATATAACATAGGCACGGCACCAATGTGGTGGTCTGAGTGAGCGTGCGTGCGCGCGTGTGGGTGTGAGCGGGGCTGCCACCCTCCCCGTGTGTCCCTTGGCACCGCGTCACAGCCCTTACAGTCTTGATTTTACATCGTTCCCTCCTAGTGCCTTAACGACCGACAGACAGACAGACACGGTGAAGGGTTGACTTCCACTGGTACTCCAAGAAACTGGCTGGGGCTGCTCAGATATGTTCTCAGCTCTTGCGTTAGGCTGTTAGAGTATTTTACTTGGGTCTTTTTGTTTCTGTCATTTTAATGTCATGTGGATTGTCTTTCCCGGGCTCTTTGTGGCCAGAAGGGTTTCAAAGAAGCTGAGCTTTACTCTGAGGGAGAGGTCCAGAGGGACTCCCCGCCTCCGCCTCATACGGCGCGAGCGGGCCTTAGGAATGCCAGCATTGCCAGGCAGCTGCCTCAGCCTCCAAGCCCACCGCCTCCTTCCTGGACCCATTTTTGGTACCTCTCGTCCCGCAAGAAGCCTGGTAGTCTCAGACACGCCCACATTGTCTCTCCACCAGCTCTGCGGGCTGCGGTCGGGCTCCTCCCCTGCGGTTTCCACTGGTGAGTCTGCTGTTACTTCTTTCCTGAAATTAACCTAGGTCTCCCAAGACACTGTGATCTCAGAGACAGAGAGCAGGCAGAGGGGCTGGGGGACAGTTGGGGAAACGCTCCCATGGACAATTCAGCCTCCAAAGAAATCTTTGCGCCTTTGCTATGTCCTGGGTGTTTCTCCAGCTTTGAACAGTGAAGGGGGTAAGAACTTTCTTTTCCTCCTGAGAAACTCTGAAGCCATGGAGGTTGGAGACCGGTCAGGTCCAGGATGGGACATAGTAGCATGGTATGGACTGTTTGGTCGTGGTGCGAGCCCCAGCTGGCCCCTAATCCACATCTTCAGGTAGAAGGTCTCTGGCCAGCAGTCCAGTCTCCCTCCCTGTCTTCCCTCTGCAGGCCCTGAGCAATGTACTGCGAAGGGGCGTCCTCATGACACCTGCTCTCCTTCAGTAACGAAGCTTACTTAGCTTTTAGCTGTGAAAAACTCTGGAAGCTTCCCCACCTGTCCATTCTTATAAAGTCCCCAAACTGGACATGTCTTATGCACCTTGGGCCAAAAAAAAAAAAAAAAAAAAAAAAAAAGATGCTAGAGCCTGGCAAGGCCCGACCCGGCTCCGCCAAGGAAGTCAGTTCAGAGGGGTGGGGAGCAAAGCCTCTGGAGAAAGAACCCTTGGGCCACAGCCCTCTGCCACATACTCCCAGCAGCCGGTGGCAGCGTTTCCCGTGGGACTGACTGACTTTGTCCTGACTGAAAGCGGTTTGCCTTGCCGGGTGGTAGCATCTGGAAGAGTAGTCTTCTAGGGATGACTGTCCTCCAGCGCCTCCTCCTGCTCCCATTGAGACTCCTCACCCTTCTACCCATTGTGTCCTCCTCCCCCTCCCAGATAACAAGGAACGTTCCTTGCTGCTCATAATTTAGTCTTATTGTACTGATTATTTGTGTTATTGCCACTGTAATTATGATCTTTACCACCTTGTTGCTATTTTAGTCAGGGTTTGAAGTATACATTTATTCCAAGTATCTTTGTGTTTTCTTCATAATATTTAATTTTATTTTATTGTATCTGTGAGTATATGAATAGACTGGCGGGACATGCAGATGTCCAGTCTTGTCAGAGGAAAAGAAAAAAAGAAAGGACAGGAGGGAGGGAGGGAAGGCCCAGAATTAGGCAAATTGTTTCTGTCATCTCTGTGCCATAAAGACCTACAAGAAATGCATAGCGCAAAGCAGGGATTCGGATACCCTGGGTCGTCCTGTGCACGGCCCCGCCGGGCACACAGCCACTGTTGGTGCAATGTCCTCTGGACTCCGGCAGCTTCTCCACACTCTCTGTGTTTCCCCCCATGTGTGAACTACTGACCACATTTTACCGCGCCTCACCTCTGACATTCAGCATGAAACGGCCCCTCTGTCAAAGCTGCCCTGCCCTTCCCCTTCCCTTCACGCTTTCCTACCAGCGTAGTTAGAGTGTGGCTTGTCTCCTTCAGTGCAGACAGTGGTCCCACCCAGAAGCCATCAGGTGTAGTGAGTTGTAGGCATTAGTGCCTGTGAGATATTTGCGTGTCCTTCTGTCCTTCTGCGCAGTTACCACGCTTCCCATTTCCCTAGCCAGCTTCTCCCACAGCCACCCTCCCAGTACACGATTCCAGGGGGCACAGGAGAGCCCCAGGCAAAGCCCAGCCCAGCGTCTGCCAGACACCGCAGGGCCAGTAGGATGGAAGCCGCCGCCCCCCCTCCCCCCCCCCCGCTCTGTCTGTGCCCTTCAGTGCCTGCACTGTGCTGATGGGTGTGTACACCCCCACTGTCGCTCGGAACCAACCAGAACCCTAGCTAGCTTCCCCAAACAAGACAGCCACTCCGCAAACCTCCCGTTCACAAAGACCCCAGCTAGTGGGTGCCCTCACCCAAGTTCCCACTGAGGGGCTCAGCACATCCATTTGGCTAAAACAAAAAAAAAAAAAAAAAAGGTGGAAGAAAGGCTCTGTGCTAGGACTAGGCTTTGAATGGAGGAGGTGCGCTTAGTCCTTAACAGACCGCGTGTCCCTGGTGCCTCTGGCTGTCCTTTAAAGAGGAAAGCCTGCACCGCATGAGGAAGACCAGAAGGAAGCAAAGGGCTGTGGCATCGCGTGACCCTCCGCTGGGTCCTTGCTGACCATCTGGGCCTTGGCACCGGGTCTCTGTGTTAGTGTGTCGGGGTGATGTTTTAGGAGAGGAGCCGAGCAGGCCAGTGGGTAGGCAAGGCTGGTGTTGGTGTCAGTTAACCCTGTGAAGTGGGTGTGGCTGATGTAATTGGAAGGGAAAGGTGGGGGTGGCCCTGTGCCCCCTGGACTGAATGCGAGTGTCTCTCCTTCCTGGTGGCAAAGTTGTGTCCTGCTATAAATGCCAACTTGGCTTTGTTCCCTTTGCCTCTAAGGACTGGGACTGACTGAGCAGGTCAGGAAGGGAGGTCAGCCCAGCAGAAAGGACCTCCCTGGACCAGGGCTTGGGAGTTGCAAGCACCCGTTTTTCAAGGGTGTGGTGGAGGAGTGGGTTGGGTATGGTAATGAGTGGAGGTAAAGTTGTGTGGCTTAAGGATGTGTAACTGGCGGTCCATGGTAGTAAGGGTGACTGGTTGGGTCCTCACTCTGTCCCTCCCTCCCCCAGGTTCTCAGCTGGCTGAGGGCAGGGCAGGGTGTGGGCATGGCTCTTGCTGGCCTGCCAGGTAGCTGCTAGGACAGAAGACAGAAGAAAATCGCTTGATGCCCTGCGCTAGCAGACAGAGCCCATGAGAGAGAGGCAAGGTCTTCCGTGGCCCAGCCTGAGGCCTCACCACCCAGCCAGCCCCTGGGCCACACATCCCAGCCCAGGGCCTCCGGGGCTTGCTCTACCCCTAACTCCTCCCTTCCCTCTAATGTGCTTTACAGATTTCCCATGGGGAAGCCTCAAAATTAAGCAGGCCAGAGATGCCCTTACAAATTAGAAAAGAAAATAAAACTGTCCCTTTCTGTAGCCAAAGAACCCTCTCAAAGACACCTCTAGAGATGGACAAATGCTCCCTGCTCCTTTCAGGGCAATACTGACGTCAATGATGCAAATCCATTTATACTTCCTCTCTGTCCTGCCTCTTATTATTTTTTTTTTTTATTTCACTGCATTTATTTCAAAACCACTCGTCTTTAGGAGGAGTGGAGTAGTGATCCTAAACGCTGCTACTGCCGAGAAAGTGAGGCCCCTCAAAGAAAGTGCTCGTTTCGCCTAACTGATATCGTGCTACTGGGGAGCTAGAAAACAAGCAAGTAGGCCTTCCCGGGTGACCCACACGGCACCCCAGGCTTAGGGTGCACAGGACTGGCTTGACTAGCAGTATCTGTCAGTCAGTACTCAGACAAATCCCTCAAGCCACTAGCGAACCAAAGATGGCAAAATGAGGCTTACTTAGTTGCAAAAGAGGCCGCATGACTACTCTGGCACAATGGCTCCCTGTAGTGACCAACCGAGGAAAGGGTTCCCGAGTCTCTGGGAACATTATACGGACTGCCTCGTGCTGCACTGTTAACCAACGTTCACAGAATGCCAAGGCCTTTCTGAGCATCCTCTCTCAGACCCATCTCAGCCACTTACCCCTGGCAAG